ATGTGGTGGAGGGGGTGGGGGGGGCCTGGGGTGGAGGGGGGATTTTTGGTGGTGGGGGGGGCCCCGGGGGTTTAAGAGCTTTTTGGTAAGAGGTTTAAAAACCCCCCCCCCTGGGGGGAGGGGGTTATGATTTGGGGTGGAGGGTTGGGGCCCCCTGGTTGGAGGGTGTTAGGGGGGGAGGCCCCAGGGGGGGTTAGGGGGTGCGGAAAAGGGTTTGGTGGGGAGGTGGTAAGGGGAAAAAAAACCCAAGGGGGAAAAACCCTCCAGAGAAGGGGGGAAATTTCGGCTTTTTGGGGGACCCCCCTAAACCCCGGGGGCGATTCGCTTTTTTTTTTGAAGAAGAGAGAGGAGGGGAAGAGCCCCCGGGAGGATTTGAAGGGTTTGGGGGGAGAAGGGGGGCCCCCAAAAGGGGAAAAGGGCGAAATTGGAAGGAAGGGAGGGGGGGAGGGAAGGGGAGAGGGGAAGAGAGGAGGGGGGAAGGGAGGGGAGGGGGAAGGAGGAGGGGGAGAGGGGAGAGAGAGAGGGGAAAAGGGGAGAGAGGGAGAGAGAGAGAGAGAGGGAGGAGGGAAAGAGAGGAGAGAGAGAGAGAGAGGAGAAGAGGGGAGAGAGGAGAGAGGAAGAGAGAGGGGAGGGGAGGAGAGAGAGAGGAGAAGGAGAGGAGAAAGGGGTGTGGGGGGAGGGGGGGAAAAATGAAGTGATGAATAGTTCAACTCCCAAGACCCACTGCATACATTTACATTTACGTCATTTAGCAGACGCTCTTATCCAGAGCGACTTACAAATTGGTGCAGTCACCTTATAGCCAGTGGGATAACCACTTACAATTATTATTATTGGTTTTTTTTATTTTATTTTTTTGGGGGGGGGGTAAGGGGGGGGTTAGAAGGATTACTTTATCCTATCCCAGGTGTTCCTTAAAGAGGTGGGGTTTTCAATGTCTCCGGAAGGTGGTGAGTGACTCCACTGTCCTGGCGTCGTGAGGGAGCTTGTTCCACCATTGGGGGCCAGACAGAGCGGGTAAGTTGGTTGTGTTTTGTGGGTTGAGTAATTTTTTTGGCTGGATTTTTATTTGGTGAGGTTAGTTGTGGGTGTGAAATATTTTGTGGGGGGAGTATATTTTGTGGTGTGAGTATTTTTGGGGGGGCCCAGAATCGTGGGTGCGGTTATTTTGGGGGTGGAGAATTTTTGGGCGCGAGTATATTTTTTGGGTGTGAGTGTGTTTGGGGCTGAGAGTTTTTTTGTGGCTGGAGTGTTGTGGTGTAGGTTTTTGTTGGGCGGAATATTTTTGTGGCTGTGAGTATATTTTTTGGTGGAGTATATTTTGTGGCGTGAGGTTTTTGGGTTGAGAATTTTGTGGGTTTTGGTATTTTTGTGGGGTGGGGTTTTTATTGGGGTGTTTTAGTATAGTTGTGGTGTGGTAATATTTGTGGGTGTGAGTGTATTTTTGTGGTGTGAGTGTATTGGTTTTGGCTGTGAGTTATTTTTGAGGTGGGGGAAATTGAGTATATTTGTGTGGCTGTGAATATATTTTTGTGGCTGTGAGTATATTGTTGAGGCTGTGAGTGTATTTTTGTTGCTGTGAGTGTATTTTTGTTGCTGTGAGTGTATTTTTGTTGCTGCGAGTGTATTTTTGTGGCTGTGAGTGTATTTTTGTTGCTGTGAGTGCATTATTGTGGCTGTGAGTGTATGTTTGTGGCTGTGAGTATATTTTTGTGGCTGTGAGTATATTTTTGTGGCTGTGAGTGTTTGGCTCTTCAGTACTGCCAGTGTGACGTTTTGATGCTGTGAAATAAAAGTTGACAGTCCAGGGCCGTGGATCAGCTTAATACATCTCACACAAGGTCACCACTTGATAGGTATCCATTCATCAAACACACACACACACAGAGATGCATAACGACACACACAAAGGCATGTGCACTCACACACACTAACACACACACACTAACACATACACACTCACTCATGAGCTGATGTGCAGTGACACATCTGCATCTCCTACCTATCGCAACTGTTTGATAATGAGACTAAATTATAAATCCACACGTTAATATGGTGGTGTGGTTTCTGTAATGAAGCCTTCGGGGCTGAGGTGAACGATGGGTTCATGTGAGGAGAGGGCAGGGTCAGTGATCACTAATGAGAAGTTCATGAGATGAAGAACATTAAGACTGGGATATGTCTGATTTTAGAATATTTCAAGCCTCCAGCAGCTGCTTCGTCAGCTACACACACACGCACACTCTCTCACACACCCAGACACACACGCACCCTCGCCCACACACACAGTCTTCCTCAGACCATGGGGTGAGCTGAGCTGCAGAATTAATTAGTTGAATATTGAATCTTCATGAGGGCCTTTATCAGCTTGCTCAGCAGGATGTGACATCGTGTCGTCTGCAGCAGACTTCCTCTCTAATAACCTCTTACATTACCACACACACAGAGTGAGAAAGAGAGAGAGAGAGAGACAGAGCGAGAGAGAAAGACAGAGAGACAGAGAAAGACAGAGAGACAGAGAAAGACAGAGAGACAGAGAAAGACAGAGAGAGAGAGAGACAGAGAGAGTGAGAAACAGAGAAAGAGAGCGAGAAACAGAGAAAGAGAGACAGAGAGAGAGAGAGAGAGAGAAAGACAGAGAGACAGAGAGACAGAGAGAGAGAGAGACAGAGAGAGTGAGAGAGAGAGACAGAGAGAAAGAGAGAGAGAAACAGAGACAGAGAGAGAGAAACAGAGAAAGAGAGAGACAGAGATAGAGAGATAGAGAGAGAGAGCTCTTTAATAACCTTTATAGACTCTTGTAATAGGCCAATACAAACACAATACAGACATACAAAAACAAACACACTTTAATTCAGAATGGGTTCATGTAACAGAGGGGGGCTTTTATCTAATAGCAGGCACATGACATAAATATTCCCTTTCAGCATGAGCTCCACACACACACACATCTCAAAGCACACAAAGCTCTTTCTGAGAAAATAAGTAATTTGCGTCATATCTTGCCTTTCCACTGAGATGTGAAGAGAAAAATGTAGTTATGTAACCTTCAGGGAGATGGACTTGAGAACTCATCAACTAAAACCACTGAAAGGCTCAAGAACTTGTCTTAATGTTCTGCACACAACTCTCTGCATCACTCTGCATCACTCTCTACATCACTCTACATCTCTCTACATCTCTCACTACATCTCTCTATACATCTCTCTACATCACTCTCTACATCACACTCTCTATCACTCTCTACATCACTCTCTACATCACTCTCTACATCATGCTCTACATCTCTCTACATCCCTCTCTACATCACTCTCTACATCTCTATACATCACTCTACATCACTCTCTACGTCACTCTATATCACTCATCACCCTATATCACGCTCTACATCACCCTCTACATCACTCTCTACATCTCACTCTACATCACTATATAAATAAATAAAATAAAGTAATTTAGCAGACACTCTTATCCAGAGCGACTTACAGGAGCAATTAGGGTTAAGTGCCTTGCTCAAGGGCACATCGACAGATTTTTCACCTCGTCGGCTCGGGGATTAGAACCAGCGACCTTTCGGTTACTGGGACAACGCTCTTAACCACTAAGCTACCTGCCTCCCTCTACATCACTCTCTATATCACCCTCTACATCACTCTATACATCTCACTCTACATCACTCCCTACATCACACTCTACATCACTCTACAGCATTCACTACATCTCTCTCTACATCACACTCTACATCACTCTCTACATCACTCTCTACATCACTCTATACATCACTCTATACATCACTCTATACATCACTCTCTTGTATTTGAGTGAAGAGACTGAAGGCTTCATGAAGTTCAATTTCCAGTGCAAACAGGAAGGGGGAGAGGGGACATCTGCTGCATTCCATTCCAAAGAGTTGCCGCCTCATTTCTACCCTCTCCCTCTTCCATTCACCAATCCGACTAGATAGGTGAAAGTATATGTTGAACTAACTTCTGGAGTGAACAAAGGCAGTCGGAAAGGGACAACTTTTCTGAAATAAAATGCAGCTCATAAATCTGGTAACCCACGGTAACGACCTTTCACCTTCTTCTGACTCTCAGAATGTAGAGCTCCACTGGCAAACGGGGACAGGAGAGTTGTGTGTGTGTTTGATCCAACTGACTGTGCTCACTTTCAGTTCATTTGTGAAATTCCAGAGCTCTACAAGGTGCCATGACTCCATACACCTGTGAGTAGGCTGGGGCTGAATACCGTTTATACCGTATACCGGGGTATTTCCAAATACCGACGGTATGATTTCCAATACCGTTTAATAAATAAATATATATATATATATATTGTGGGGGTTGCGTGCTAAATTATATCCAGCTCAGGGCTTCAGCTATGCATTTGGTTTGCTAACTTGCTAGCTAAGTGGCTAGATGTCATGATCAAGCTTCTTGGTTACAGCAGAGACATTCAATCCAGTCCTGGATCAAGATCCCTGTTGCAAAAAATTGTTTGTGCATAAAAAAAATAAACATCTGGGTAGCGCCCAACCCTACCTGTGAGTGTGTGTTAATAATGTGTGTGTGGAGGTGTTGTAAGACGTTCTCATGAAACTACTTCTGTCTGTGTGTGTGTGTGTGTGTGTGTGTGTGTGTGTGGACGTGTTTAACTATACTTGTGGGGACCGGAAGTCCCCACAACAATGGTAAACCAAGAAATATTTGACCAACTGGGGACATTTTGTTGGTCCCCACAAGGTCAAATGCTATTTCTAGGGGGTTTAGGGTTAAGGTTAGAATTAGTGTCAGGGTTAGAATTAGGGTTAGGAGCTAGGGTTAGGTTTAGGGTTAAGGTTAGGTTTTTGGGTTAAGGTAAGGGTACGGATATGGGTTAGGGTTAGGGAAAATAGGATTTTGAATGGGACTGAATTGTATGTCCCCACAAGGTTAGCTGTGTGTGTGTGTTCTCACCTTGGCAGAGGTCTCATACCATCCCACAAAGCCGTTCTCCTGACAGAACTTCTCCATCTGGATCCCATTGTTGGTCAGCACGTCCCGCCCCTGGTCACACTTATTAGCCAATAGCACTGCGGCCACATTTTTCCCGTTGGCCAGCGTGAGTTTAGAGTCCAGGTCCTCCTTCCACTTGGTGACGGCCTCGAAGGAGGAAGGCCGCGTCACGTCAAACACGATGAACGCCCCCATGGCCTCACGGTAGTAGACCCGCGTCATGTTCCCAAACCGCTCCTGACCTGAAACACACACAGTACTGTTAGTTAGTACTGACAGCAGTAGTAGGAGTAAACGCTATACCTTAGCCTTGTGATAAAACATGTGTCTTGTTGTCACACCACCCCTGACCCTAATACCATATCACATGCCCTGGTAACACCACTGAGATGAAGGTTACTTTAGGCTGTAAACAACCTATTGCCTCAGGGCAAAGAGTCCACTACACAGTCGTGGTCACAGTCCTGGTCACAGTCGTGGTCACAGTCCTGGTCACAGCCGTGGAGGGTCACATTCATTAACCAATCCCGGTAAAATACGACAAGGTGGACGGACAGGGTACATCTCAAGCAACACACAGATCAAATTTAGTAATGGTCTTTCCAAAGACAGCACAACTCCCATTAACGATAAATTAGTATGACTGATGAGGGATTTCTTTCACACACAGACAACTACAGTATCATTATAAAGACAGAGGGAGAGGGGAGGTAAAGAAAGGGCCTTCTATGCCATCAAAAGGAACATCACATTCAACATACCAATTAGGATCTGGATAAAAATACTTGAATCAGTTAAAGAACACATTGCCCTTTATGGTTGTGAGGTCTGGGGTCCGCTCACCAACCAAAAATTCACAAAATGGGACAAACACCAAATTGAGACTCTGCATGCAGAATTCTCTGTGTACAATGTAAAAAAAACAAAAAATGCATGTTGAGCAGAATTAGGCCGATACCCGCTAATGATCAAAATCCAGAAAAGAGACGTTAAATTCTACAACCACCTAAAAGGAAGCAATTCCCAAACCTTCCATAACAAAGCCATCACCTACAGAGAGATGAACTTGGAGAAGAGTCCCCTTAAGCAAGCTGGTCCTGGGGCTCTGTTCACAAACACAAACAGACCCCACAGAGCCCCAGGACAGCAACACAATTAGACCCAACCAAATCATGAGAAAACTAAAAGATAATTACTTGACACATTGGAAAGAATTAACAAAAAAACAGCGCAAACTAGAATGCTATTTGGCCCTAAACAGAGAGTACACAGTGGCAGAATACCTGATCACGATGACAGACCCAAAATTAAGGAAAGCTTTGACTATGTACAGACTCAGTGAGCATAGCCTTGCTATTGAGAAAGGCCGCCGTAGGCAGACCTGGCTCTCAAGAGAAGACAGGCTATGTGCACACGGCCCACAAAATGAGGTGGAAACTGAGCTGCACTTCCTAACCTCCTGCCAAATGTATGACCATATTAGAGACACATATTTCCCTCAGATTACAGACCCACAAAAAATTAGAAAACAAATCCAATTTTAATAAACTCCCATATATATTGGGTGAAATACCAGTGTGCAATCACAGCAGCAAGATTTGTGACCTGTAGCCACAAGAAAAGGGCAACCAGTGAAGAACAAACACCATTGTAAATACAACCCATATTTATTTCCCCTTTTGTACTTTAACTATTTGCACATCATTACAACACTGTATATAGACATAATGACATTTGAAATGTCTCTATTATTTTGGAACTTGTCTGAGTGTAATGTTTACTGTTAATTTCACCTTTGTTTATCCATTTCACTTGCTTTGGAAATGTAAACATATGTTTCTCAGACATTATCATTGACTTCTATGGTCATTATCAAAGCATTTGAACAGTGTTCAGACGTTATCATTGACTTCAATGGTCATTATCAAAGCTGTTTAACAGTGTGTTCAGACGTTACTGGACACAGCCATTGTCTTTGATAGGGCTCAATCCCAATGGACCCCTAGACCCAGTGGTGTAAAGTACTTAAGTAAAAATACTTTAAAGTATTTTTACTTAAGTCATTTTTGGGGGTATCTGTACTTTACTTTTCTTTTTATAGTTTTGACAACTTTTACTTCACTACATTCCTAAAGAAAATAATGTACTTTTTACTCTATACATTCGTCCTGACACACAAAAGTACTTGTTACATTTTGAATGCTTAGCAGGACAGGAAAATGGTCCAATTCGCACACTTATCAAGAGAACATCCCTGGTCATCCCTACTGCCTCTGAACAAATTATTTGTTTGTAAATTATGTGTGTTGGAGTGTGCCCCTGGCTATCCGTAAATTTATAAAACAAGAAAATCGTGACGTCTGGTTTGCTTAATATAAGGAATTTGAAATGATTTATATACTGAACAAGAATATAAATGCAACATGCAACAATTTCAAAGATTTTGCTGAGTTACAGTTCATATAAGGAAATCAGTCAATTGAAATAAATTCATTAGGCCCTAATCTATGGATTTCACGACTGGGCAGGGGCGTGGCCATGGGTGGGCCTGGGAGGGGGCATAGGCCCACCCACTGGGGAGCCAGGCCCAGCGAATCAGAATGAGTTTTTCCCCCACAAAAGAGCTTTATTACAGATAGAAATACTCCTGCGCACCCCTCCCGCCACCCTCTGACGATCCCGCAGGTGAAGAAGCCAGATGTAGAGGTCATGGGCTGGCGAAGTAACATGTGGTCTGCGGTTGTGAGGCCTGTTGGATGTACTGCCAAAATTCTCTAAAACGACTTCGGAGGCGGTTTATGGTAGAGAAATTAACATTCAATTATTTGGCAACCGCTCTGGTGGACATTCCTGCAGTCAGCATGCCAATTGCACGCGCCCTCAAAACTTTAGAGGTCTAGAATAGAGGTACATTTGGGATCGGGCCTAGGTGTGACATTCTACCAGTGCATGAGGCAGGAACTCCAGTCTGAGTTAACACCAGCTGACTACCAGCTGACAGTATCAGCAAAGCTGAGCAACCATCCACATCATGACACAACTCCTATTTTAAGTTGAGCACTTCAACATACATTAGTTCTCCCGACTCAACCGTACTAGTTTAGCTGTTTTGTTGCTGCACAGAAAGCTGCTAGACCCGCTTCACTCCAAAGCTTTGAAAGCTTCTGATCACCTAGTGACAGGAAACAGTCAAAACCCCTGTGCAATAAAGGTTGAGACCTCTTAGCAGAGGCCACACTTAACTGGGACATTGTAATATCTCATGAGGAACACAATAATTTAAATTAAGGACATGAGAAAACATAGTTTATAATATCCCTCTAAATTGAGCTCAATGACACAACGCATGAATCTATTCTGAATACAATAGGCTGCAGGGCAGAAGGTGGACAGGGCATTCTCGATCCCGGAAGAAGCCTGTCGGCTCTCATTCACAATAAGCCTATTCTGAGCACCAAATCTCCCTCACATGAGTGCGAGACACATGAGTCTGCGCACGGGCTGTACCGGCCAGAGCGTATGGGACTGGAGAGGGGGAGCGCGGGCAGAAGGCCGCAGGTGCGTCAGAGGAATTTCTCCAATAACCGACACTCACGTGAGATTCGAGGAACACCGTATGCGTGTATGCCTTAACTGCCATCGGTTCCCAACGTTTGCACACGAACAGGACCGTTGTGTCCTATTACGAAACATCTGATAACTCCTCATAACACTTATTTTGTATTATATGTTGCCGTCAGTATACAATTAAGTCCAATCCTTTTGATACACTTTCTCCAATGACCACTGCCCCAGAACAACCTAATATATGTAGTGAATGGAACCACCGACCAGAGACCACTACAGTTCCCTCCGCTGGAACTTCATTGACTCGCACTTTGACAATCCATCAAAACCCTTAAACGTAATTTATCCAAGTGTGGCCAAATAGCATAATACCAAAACGGGCCTGCCTGTGTCCCCATTTCATCAGAGTCACGCGTAATGCTTCTCCTACCTGCTATGTCCCATAACTGTAGCCGAACCGTCTCTTGGTCCCAGTTAATGACCTTCAGGGCGAAGTCCACTCCTATCGTGGCCCGGTAGTTGGGGCTGAAGTTCTGGTGGACATAGCGCTTGATGATGCTAGTCTTCCCCACCCCCAGGTCCCCTACTACCAGGATCTTATAGAGGTGCTCCTTGTGGTTGTTCTGCATGGCGACCGCGGAGCGCTACCGTAGAACATTAACACGCCGTGATGACTGGAGAGAGGGAGAAGAGGTTAAGGGGAGAGCGAGAAGAGAATGTGGAGCGGTGTGCTCCAGCGATCCGAAAGGAACGCCCAGAGAAGTGGGGCAGAAAAGGGTAACAGCGGGACCTTGTGACTCGCGGGGCTCAGACGTGAGAGCGCGCGGCTGGACTGACCCCATCTGAAGCCTCTCCTCAAATTTGCCCCCTCCAAATAACTCATTGTCATCTAAAAGTTGCTTTACTCCTGAAAAATTATTTGCAAGACCTGCAATGTTCCATCAAGAATATAGAAGTTATGCGCATTTAGCTGAAGATGTATCCATATGTCAGTGTAAAAAAAAAAGCCAACACCACTGAAAATATTTCTAAAAAACAACTTTATTTATTTTCTTTCAAATTGTAAAAAGCACACAAAACCAGTGCAAATCTGTGCATGATGTGATCTTATTGGAAACCTATAGGACATTTCTAATGAAAGGCAACCACTTCTGGAGGGGAGGGGGGGGGGGGGGGGGGGGCACCAACATTAAATCATACTATCCCTTTCTACACAAATGAGACAGCAGTCCCTTTTGAACATTCCCAGTAGACTCCAATTTACAGCTTGAGGCAGATATGAGAGGACAGTACAGAGCTGAGAGGACTAGCGACAGAGGATATAAAATCACAGGACATTGAAGACAGTCTCCCCCGTGCTTCCATGAGATTACAGCTAGAGAGCAGAGGTCCTCTGCCCTCCTATCAATCACCAGACTAACTACAAAAGACTGATTAAAAACTACAAATCCCAGTTACATTGGGGATTAACGCAGGTTCCCTTTAGGCATCATTCCCAAAAATACATCTCTGACTGGCATGGCAAGGATCAGACAGCCTAGGGAGCAAGGTGAAAACGTTTGCACAGTTATCTATTATTTCTGTCATCAACAATGTTCCAGCCATTTCAAACTTTTCAGCTACAAAATAATTACATGTATAAACCATTGTAGACTTCAGGCCAGAGTATCAGGCTAGGTTCCAATTGGGAAAACTCCTAAAGATTGACCCTTGCCTATGACCCCAGTTGACCCTCTACAGTTTGGGGATGGGCTTGGCTGCCACGGCGATGCTCTCAATAGCACACTCGTCGGACCCCCGTCTGATCCTGAAGAAGCCCCCCTCGCCCCACGCCTTCCCCCAGCTGTTCTTCACCACCCAGAACTTCTGACCAGTCATGTGACATTGGCCGTAGCCCACCAGCAGCACCGCGTGGTTGGTCAGCTCAAACGGGTTGATGGGGTCATGGAGACCCGTGTGGTGGTAGATGCCCTCCTTATAGTGCATGAAGTCAGGGTACACCTGGACAAGAACACAGCGTGAGGAATACACCTTTACCATTTTGACTTAGCAAACTAATACTGGCCATTACTCTTATTGAGCTAGCCAATGCACAAACCAAACAACGTGTGTGTGTCCCACCTCGAAGGCCACCCCCATGGGTCCGTTCTTGACCAGTTCCAGCATCATGGCAGACTCGCTGCATCCTCCGTAGAACCCTCCCACGTAGCTGTAGTCTGAGGCGTAGTGGCGGAGACAGCCATCGGGAATGTCACACGGGGAATCCGTCCCAATATACGGATAACACGACTCTTCCACAATCCCAAAGTCCTGGATGTACTTCCCAATGAGGTAGGGGAAACCACCATCACAACCTGAGGGGGAGGAGAGGGGAATTAAAGGGGGTTAGAGATATGGGAGAAATACACACACACATCATTGAGGTACAATTATGCAGTGTGCGCGTTACCTTGGGAGTACTGAGAGCAGGAGACGACCTGCTGTGGACTGAAGATGGGCGTCTCTGTGTTGTTGGTTTGGATCCGGATGCGAGCTTCCAACATTCCCATTGAGGCAAAGGAATAGCAGCTACCACACGAAGCTGGAGACAACAGAGTACCAGTCAAACCCTGCACTGTCACAACCAATCAAAAACCTCACTGCAATATCAGTCACCACTGTAAGAACCAGACAGCCGGTCAAGCAGTCAGTGGATCATCTTTAACCTGCAACTATTTTAGCCACCAGCAGCAACCATAGTTCTGTGGGAATGAACCCTAAAAGCCTATTTATGTTTGAGCCGAAAATGTGGTCGGAGGCTTCGTATGGAGGGTGTGACGCAATTGTGGAGCCTCCAGAGGCCAAATCAAGCTCCATCACGCCTCAAATTTTGTAACAATGCGGAGGGATCCTTATAGCTCCGCATTGACATGATTGGTTTACGGGAGGTGGGGGCGGTACATCCTGTATAAACAAACTCACTTCCTTGACAACTTATTACACAATAGCTCTGCTCCGCAGTAGATGCTGTACTGCCACTGCCGGTGACGGATTGACTATGCAGAGCCTTTTAGGCAGGGCAGAAGGCCCCACTTCCTCAAACTGCAGTAGCCCCGTGTTAAAACCCCTCTTCAACAGAGCTCCTACATCCCTGAAATGGCCCTCTCAGCCAGCTATCCAACCACTCACTAAACACACGCTGTGTCTGCGGGTTGAGACGTGAACATTGGCTAGGCTATAATCCAGAGGGACTATGTGGCCTTTGGTTTAACAGTCCTCTACTAGAAGAGAACAGGAGAGCTGATGGTACTGCTCTGTAGAGAACACTCCAAAGGCCTCTCAGCCACTGCAGACAGGCTGAACATTATACACAGGGGTTGGGAGAGGAGACAGATGCCACCAAGAGTCACGATAGACAAGTGTAGGTATTTGACCCGGCGTGTGTTTTACCCTGGTTGCGGACAGGACTGAGGTAGTTGACGCCGTTGACATCTCTCCAGTCCCAGCGCTCAGGGAGGCCGGCCGCCATCTTGACTAGCGTTGCTGTCACAGGGGCGGGGCCAACACGTCTGGGGAGGAGCATAGACACATACGATAAGGGCACACCATGGACATTTTTTGCAATTAATCCAAAATGAGTGTTCCTATTGAACACCTTTAGGTAGTACCCCAGTTTTAAAAAGTCCTGTTTCATACCTACTGAACACAACTGATGTGATCCTATTCCCCACTGTCTCCTGAGAATATCACTAGTCCCCCCCACACTATGGATTGGTGTCACAGCATGGACTGGACTTAGCTCCCACCATATTTCTGACACCAATCCAATTCCTTTTAAATTCGTGTGGGGGGGGGGAAAGATATAGCAGCTGGGGGGGGGGGGGGGGGGGGGGGGGGGAAGAAACTTCTGGCATTTCTAAGACCTTGTACAGAGTGACTATTCCCTTCCTTTGTCATACCAGAGCAGTCTAGACGAGGTGGGGAGAGAGACTATTCTATGATCCTAGAACAGAACCCTCAGACTCGGCCTTGGACTCACTTGACATGATTATGCTCTCCAGGAACGAAACTTTCACTGGGGACATGCCGCCCCCCCCCCCCCCCCCCCCCCCACATTCTGAAATTGCATTTTTGTCCCCCCCAGTTTTATCATTGGAATATGATTTTTTTTTTTTATAAAAAAGGGAAAGGTGTACTTTAAGACCATGCGGAAGCCTCCGAGCATTCGGGTAGGCTGCTTGGAGTGTTTACCTGACTGGATAAATTATGTCCCACCCCCACTTCTAAAACCAAAGTTGCACCCCTGAGTCTCTCCCTTTTCTTTCAGAAGTCAAATCTCTCAGCTGAATCGGACTCATTTTCTCCTGCTTCTTCCTTGGGGCTGTAAGTGAGTGTGTGAAGTCCGCCAAAATGAGTTTCATTATTATTGAATTCAATGTTTCAATACGTCATAGTTTCACAAGTGAGTGACTGTACCTGGGGACGTGAGAGGCTGGTCCCCCAGCCCTGTGCATTAGCTGCTGCAGAGTGTACGTCTCATGTTCCCTGTAGGCCGTGGCTCTCCAGGAGCTCTGGGCCGCGTTGATGGACTCAATGAAGTCCATGTTGTGTTTGTAGGACCTATGGAGCAGCCTGAGAGAAGAGTGGGGGATGAGTAAACGCCGACACAGCCTGAGGGAATGAAAACAGAATGAACACAAATGCAGGACCACAGGAGCAGCCCGAGGGAGAGAAAGTTGCAGCCAAGAGCACTGGTCAGACCAGAACACGACTCGTGACTGACAGCCAATGTAAAAGATAGAGTCAAGGCTAAGCAGACTGCTTGTTTTTCTATATGAGCAAAACTCACAGTAAAATGGGACCATGGATGAAAAATAGCCTTCTAGCCAACTATCGAACTTTAATGTGAAAACGTAGAGGTGATTATTGGGGAGCATTATTATTATTATTATTATTATTATTATCAAAACCGCTCTAAACCCCTGAGGCTACTCACAGGAGGTCCTTGTGGGAGTAGCGGTGTGTGTGTACGGAGCGAGGGGGTACTGGGATGACCCTCTTGGCAGTGAAGCAGGCCCAGTTGTTCCCCAGAGCATCGTGGACCCAGCCTGGCAGAGTCTGGTCACAGTAGCTGGTCACCTCAGAGCCCTGCTCAGAGTACTGGAACAGAGAGGAGGAAGTCAGTCTGTGTGCACGAGGCGTCCCTGTGTGGAGACCGATGACAATCACATATTGAATCTTCATGGCCTGAGTTGTAGATTAAAAATCACTCTTATCTTTGAAAAGCAGAAGTGCAACAAGTCAGTGATGTTTTATGCAAATAGGTTGTGGCCATTACCCTGATAAAGGCTTACAATATGAGAGTTAGCAGACCATTTGTGGCTTTATGAACAGCAATGAGTATCTAACAATGGGCTTTTCCAGTGAAGCATGTGGTGTGTGTGTGTCACTGTGTGCTGAGACAAGTCCAGACAGTTTCAAAAAGGAAGTAGAACTGACGTCTGCAAGTCACCTCTACCATGTAGGCGTGACAACACTGAACATTTCCCCTGATACAGTCACAAGGCAGTCATACATTTAAAAAAAGACTGAAAGCAAAACGAAAGATAACCCTGAATGGAGAAAAGTTGCAACACAGCCCTGAAAGTAACTTCGAATCACAAGCCTGAATGTATCAATAATGTAGCAATTGAGAGGTAAAAGTCAGATTAAAGCTTGAACCACCAACTCTGCAATTACAGGAAAGGTTACGAGCCATGTGTCTGACGAGCCTGAAACTTAATGTGCAAGGCTACAGGATAAGTGACTTCCACCACGGCAGGCCCGCTCATTAGGCAGCCACCTATGGTGGCAGATTGACGGCATTTACTGCACTAAACTGACCTGTAACACATAAAACCTCACAATTCTGCCCCAAAACAACGACACTCTCTCAACCAGCAGCATATGGGTTTTTAGGTGAGCGCTGATGCCACCCTTTGATAAGCAGTGCCCACAAAATATTTTGCTTGTCCATTCCCAGCGCGCCTCTCCAGGGTGCTGTTGGAGAGAAGAATCTCTGCAGCGTTCCATCAATATTCCGTCAAAAAAATAATCAAACAAAAATCCTGTAGCAGATATAGGATATGAGCATGTGGCCTTTTCTGTAGCCTACAGGCAGGAGATAAAATGTATGACAATGTAATTCCATGTCTGCCAAAAAGGTTCCTGATCTCTTGGCTATGGAGGACTAAAAGTGCCACAATTAAATAAATAAATACACCATTAAATAATTACTTAAATGTGTCATTAATTAATTAAAATTAGAATTAAATACATAAATTTTGTTTTTAAAATTTGTCTCTTAATTAATTCAAATACCGATTCATTTAGGTAAAATACATATATAAAATTTCACTTTTTACATTTACATTTCATGGTCCTGCGTTGGATGGCTCCTGAATTTTAAACTGTCAAACGCCCCATCAAAAGTTGGTAGGCGGAACCTAACGCCGATTGGTTACCCTCTGCATCAAGCCAAGACAAATCAATTCCGGATAATGTCAGCAGGGTCCTGTTTCTACCCCTTGCTAAGTTTAAAATGTCTCTAACCAACTCCCTGGAAAGTTCACGGAGATCCTCATTGTCTCTATCCGGGTTGGCCTACTCTATTTTCAGACCAAAGCAATGGATCAGACAATTCGCGTTAGCCCCCGCCCACTGACTTTGATGGGTCATTTTGACAGTTTTAAGTAATTCATGAATCACTGCAATGCAGGATCATGAAATGTAAATGTAAATAGTGAAATAATTATATATGTATTTTACATAAATGTATCATTAATTAATTCAAATACCGATTCATTTAATTACACATTTATGTATTTAATTCTAATTTGAATTAATTAATGACACATTTAAGTAATTTTTTAATGGTGTATTTATTTATTTAATTGTGGCACTTTTAGTCCTCCATACTTGGCAGATATCGTAGTATGTTACCATTATAGACTAAACTGTAACCCTGAATGAAACACTTGAATAAGCATAAGTGAGAGCTTAAACCTGCCTTGAAGAAGCCAAACCACTTGTAGTCGTTGAGGACCACCTCGAAGCCCTGATTGTAGATGAGGGTGAAGAAGCCCGTGTTTCCCAGATCATCCACCGCCACAGACAGCTTCTCCAGGTGCACAGTTATCGACTTATCAACGGTGTCTTTTTTTAAACACAACATACAAACAGCAGAGACATTTTAGGTAATTACCTCAATTAAACTTCGGGGTTCTTCCGTATTACAAAGTAACATGGGATAGACATTGTAACATTGGGCAGAGGTGAAAATTGTATCAAACAATGTAACGAAAGCACAATCAATAGGCTACAAACAAATACACGAGTAACCTACCGGGTCAAGTTAACAATCGAACCAATAAAAAAAGTTACATAGCCAACTTAATTGCTTAAAACTTGAGGTTATTCCGTATTTCCATCTCTTACCCATCAGAGAGCAGTTGATGCCTTTGTCTTTCCCTCCCGTCGATACCTGGAACACCCAGGAGCCCAACAGATCTTCATAGGTGCAGTTGGCCGGGGTATCAGCCCGGGAGCCCTCCGCCCAGAGCAGCAACACACACAGCAACACACCGCTCACCTTCATCGCGTCACACCACGCTCCTGTTTACAGAACTACGCAGAGATTTGAGTCTGCGAGTGACCACGAGCAATAGCCTACATATAGTCCCAAGTAGAAAAAGAAAGTAAGGCTATATTTCCCCGTACTTTGATGCACCTGCGAGACAGGCTTGTGTAGTGTAGTGTACTCTGTACTCTTGTGCAATCAGAGTGAACTTCCCCTTCGGTCATATGACCCACTGCAGCTTCTCACGTGACTCGCTGGGTCTGTTTGAGAGAAGACAAAAATTATCTATTATATTGGCAAGATAGCCGAGTGACCCCTCTAACAATGTAAACACATATCCTCAATGAGTGAAGGCAAATGAGGTCAGGTGGGACCATTGTAGCCAATGAGAGGGCAATACGCGTGTGAACAACTGGCACAACTAACTCGTTTTTCTCAAAGTTGCCGGAATGCCACGTGAATCCACTTATATCAGTACATTTGTAACAGCCTAAACATTACGAAACTTCTATTTGATCAAATTACCCTAACGTAACTCGACACTCTCTCATAGACCTACATACAAAGAGCTTCTCTCGTGGGCAGATTTTGGGCGAAGTAAATCCTCTTGCTTCGCATCTTCATCTCTGGAGGAGAGGAGCTAATTGGAAAGCGAATTGGAAAAATTTTGCAAATATCGGTAATGACTTTGGGGTTTTCCTTGTTAAGGCAAATTACATTCAATTGGTTTTCAGCTGTGAAGACAACGCAAATATCACTGTTCTTCACTTCAGCAACTCTGGTGTGGCTGACTTTTGAAATCTGTTAGTCTTTCATCAGTGAAAGATCAGTGTTTTATTGGATAATGAGAAAACATCAATATAATTGTTTATGTTTTTTAAAGGTGTAAAGAATAGATAAGAGGGGTGAGAGACTGTGTTTCCTCCAATGAACATTTTAAATAATTTTGTAGTGTTTATTACTAATGCCTAATTGGCTTTAAATAGGATAGGGATAAATTAAGATATGATTGTATATTATTTAGTACTTCCTACATAGATGTCTCTCTCTCATTTCAATTCAAGGGGCTTTATTGGCATGGGAAACATATGTTTACATTGCCAAAGCAAGTGAAATAGATAATAAACAAAAGTGCTCCCACCCTCTCTCTCTCTCTCTCTCTCTCGCTCTCTCCCTCTCTCTCTCTTGCCCCCTCTCTCTCGCCCTCTGGCTCTCCCTCTCTCTCTCAAATCAATTCAAAGGGGCTTTATTGGCATGGGGAAAAGTGAGAAGACACAAAACAAAAAACTATTACAATCTCTCTCCCCTCTGAGACAGTGAGGAGTCATTGACACATCTCCCAACCTAATTGGGTCTTTGTCTTCTAAACTGAATCACACAGGAAAGACTAACCCACGGTTTGAGTCCCCATCCCTCCTATTCTCAACCACTTAGTGACAAATGTATGCACAAGCTTTAGGCCTCATCTACACGCACGTGCACACACACATACAGTGAGGGAAAAAAGTATTTGATCCCCTGCTGATTTTGTACGTTTGCCCACTGACAAAGACATGATCAGTCTATCATTTTAATGGTAGGTTTATTTGAACAGTGAGAGACAGAATAACAACAAAAAAATCCAGAAAAACGCATGTAAAAAATGTTATAAATTGATTAGCATTTTAATGAGGGAAATAAGTATTTGACCCCTCTGCAAAACATGACTTAGTACTTGGTGGCAAAACCCTTGTTGATAATCACAGAGGTCAGACGTTTCTTGTAGTTGGCCACCAGGTTTGCACACATCTCAGGAGGGATTTTGTCCCACTCCTCTTTGCAGATCTTCTCCAAGTCATTAAGGTTTCGAGGCTGACATTTGGCAACTCAAACCTTCAGCTCCCTCCACAGATTTTCTATGGGATTAAGGTCTGGAGACTGGCTAGGCCACTCCAGGACCTTAATGTGCTTCTTCTTGAGCCACTCCATTGTTGCCTTGGCCGTGTGTTTTGTGTCATTGTCATGCTGGAATACCCATCCACGACCCATTTTCAATGCCCTGGCTGAGGGAAGGAGGTTCTCACCCAAGATTTGACGGTACATGGCCCCGTCCATCGTCCCTTTGATGCGGTGAAGTTGTCCTGTCCCCTTAGCAGAAAAACACCCCCAAAGCATAATGTTTCCACCTCCATGTTTGACGGTGGGGATGGTGTTCTTGGGGTCATAGGCAGCATTCCTCCTCCTCCAAACACGGCGAGTTGAGTTGATGCCAAAGAGCTCGATTTTGGTCTCATCTGACCACAACACTTTCACCCAGTTCTCCTCTGAATCATTCAGATGTTCATTGGCAAACTTCAGACTGGCCTGTATATGTGCTTTCTTGAGCAGGGGGACCTTGTGGGCGCTGCAGGATTTCAGTCCTTCACGGCGTAGTGTGTTACCAATTGTTTTCTTGGTGACTATGGTCCCAGCTGCCTTGAGATCATTGACAAGATCCTCCCGTGTAGTTCTGGGCTGATTCCTCACCGTTCTCATGATCATTGCAACTCCACGAGGTGAGATCTTGCATGGAGCCCCAGGCCGAGGGAGATTGACAGTTATTTTGTGTTTCTTCCATTTGCGAATAATCGCACCAACTGTTGTCACCTTCTCACCAAGCTGCTTGGCGATGGTCTTGTAGCCCATTCCAGCCTTGTGTAGGTCTACAATCTTGTCCCTGACATCCTTGGAGAGCTCTTTGGACTTGGCCATGGTGGAGAGTTTGTAATCTGATTGATTGATTGCTTCTGTGGACAGGTGTCTTTTATACAGGTAACAAGCTGAGATTAGGAGCACTCCCTTTAAGAGTGTGCTCCTAATCTCAGCTCGTTACCTGTATAAAAGACACCTGGGAGCCAGAAATCTTTCTGATTGAGAGGGTGTCAAATACTTATTTCCCTCATTAAAATGCAAATACATTTATAATATTTTTGATATGTGTTTTTCGGGATATTTTTGTTGTTATTCTGTCTCTCACTGTTCAAATAAACCTACCATTAAAATTATAAACTGATCATTTCTTTGTCAGTGGGCAAACGTACAAAATCAGCAGGGGATCAAATACTTTTTTCCCTCACTGTAAGTGAGAAGAAGCATGTCTCAACATCTCAGAGCTCAGTCTGGCCTGGCCACCAGTGTTTAATGCTAATGACAACACTGTGACAACACTCTGCTGTGCTCAGTAACTAAACCCCCCCACACACACACACTGTCAAATATTAAAACAGAAATGTCTGATGCACTCAGCTATCGACCGATATAATGAAGCCATGAACATAGCCATCGTTAAACGCTCAACAACTTTTACTCTTGCATTGGCAAGGTTTTGTGTGTGCGGCCTGTGTGTGTGTTTGTCTGTGTGTGTGTGTGTGTGTGTGTGTGTGTTTGTGTGTTTGTGTGTGTGTGTGTGTGTGTGTGTCTGCGTGTGTTTCCAGTCTTTAAAAGGCTTATTTTAGCTGATGGACACTGAAAATATGGGGTCTGAGTCTGGGACAGACACAGTGATTACCATGGTTACATCATAGGAGACTGACTCATCTGCTTCACAGACCATAATAATCACTGATCGGATGGAGGGGGAGGAAATTAGTCATGTCGTTATGCGTCTGTGTGTGTGTGTGTGTGGTGTGTGTGAGAGAGTGTGTGGGTGGGGGGACAGAGATAGCGTAAAGGAAAAAGATGGGGAAGAAAGAGAGCAGGAGAAGGAAAGCAAGCAAGAGAAAGAGAGGGAGTGATAGAGAGAGAGAGGGAGAAACAGAGGAGAGGAGAGACGGGAGAGAGAAGAAAACAGAAGAGAGAGAGAGAGATAAAGAGAGAGAGAGATAAGAAGAGAGACACACAGAATCTAGAGGTCGATAGTAGACATAGAGAAATCAAAGAGATAGCAGCTAAAATAGATCTAAACTAAATGATAGGAGATAAACCGAGATAGACGCTACGGGCTCCTCGCTCTTCTCTCTCTCTCCTCTCTCTCTCCGAGGATCTCTCACCTCTCGCTTCTCGGCTCCCTCCTAGATCTAGCGCTCGAATCCCGCTCTCTCTCGCTCTCTCTTCGCCTCGGCCTCTCCCCTGCCTCCCGCCCCCCCCCAATCGCCTCCCCCCCCCCGACGCCCGCCCTCCCTCCCTCCCGAAATCCCGCCCCCACACAACCACACCTTCCTCTAGGTGGGCCGCCCATCAAAACTCACGGACCAGGCAAGGAGGGCATTAATCAGAGAGACATAGCGTTTGCAAAGCTCCACAGCGGAGATTGGAGTATCTGTCCATAGGACCACTTTAAGCCGTACACCTCACAGAGCTGGGCTTTACGGAAGAGCGGCCAGAAAAAAGCCATTGCTTGAAGAAAAAAATAAGCTAACACGTTTAGTGTTCGCCAATAGGCATGTGGGAGACTCCCCAAACAAATGGAAGAAGGTACTCTGGTCAGATGAGACTAAAATTGAGCTTTTTGGCCATCAAGGAAAACGCTATGTCTGGCGCAAACCCAACACCTCTCATCACCCCGAGAACACCATGGTGGTGGTGGCAGCATCATGCTGTGGGGATGTTTTTCATCGGCAGGGACTGGGAAACTGGTCAGATTTGAAGGATAGCGCTAAATACAGGGAAATTCTTGAGGGAAACCTGTTTCAGTCTTCCAGAGATTTGAGACTGGGACGGAGGTTCACCTTCCAGCAGGACAATGACCCTAAGCATACTGCTAAAGCAACACATGAGTGGTTTAAGGGGAAACATTTAAATGTCTTGGAATGGCCTAGTCAAAGCCCAGACCTCAATCCAATTGAGAATCTGTGGTATGACTTAAAGATTGCTGTACACCAGCGGAACCCATCCAACTTGAAGGAGCTGAAGCAGTTTTGCCTTGAGGAATGGGCAGAAAATCCCAGTGGCTAGATGTGCCAAGCTTATAGAGACATACCCCAAAGAACTTGCAGCTGTAATTGCTGCAAAAGGTGGCTCTACAAAGTTTTGACTTTGGGGGGGGGGGGGGGGGGGGGAATAGTTGTACACACTCAAGTTTTCTGTTTTTTTGTCTTATTTCTTGTTTGTTTCACACAAAAAAAGATTTTGCATCTTCAAAGTGGTAGGCATGTTATGTAAATCAAATGATACAAACCCCCAAAACATCCATTTTAATTCCAGGTTGTAAGGCAACAAAATAAGAAAAACGCCAAGGGTGGTGAATACTTTCGCAAGGCACAGTGGGCTCCTACCTCCATAAAACTCTCTCAGTTTCATTTACGATGTCGTTTTTGTAAAAAATGTGCCAGTCGGTGGTGGTAGCCATGATTT